TTCTCCAAAAAAAAAAAAAAAACTATTCCAAAACTCATATTCTCCCAAATTTTCATTAAAACGGAGCCTAAACAAGGGTTTTATTGTGAGAATGTGTAGTTAAAATGAGTTTGAGAAAAAAAGTATTTTTTAATGGTTGTCAAACATGGGCTAAGTGATAAATCTCACGTTGACTAATTATCGAAATATAAATTAACATATAAGAGATTGAACAACTCTCTCAAGTAATGTTGACTTTTTAACATAGAACCTCAAATTTTCATAAGTGCAAGATATCGCGGCGTAAAAAAAATGCTAGTTTAAAAGAGAGTCTCCTTTGTAATAGCTTAAAATTTAAACGATGGAGTTCTAAATGTATCTCATATTTAATAAGTGTTTAGACAACAAACATACCTTCTCATCAAAGAATTTAGCCCAGAAGCGAGCGGTGGCTCTTTCATAAGGATCTCCTGGCCAAAGGGAAGGGCCTTCCCATGTTTCATCAATGTATTCAAGAATCACCAGAGACACAAATTGGTTTGCCATTGTGTACTAACACAGGAACTTTCTTGTGAACTGGGTTGTACTTTAACAGCAAAGGGGACTTCTTGTTGTGTACATCTTCGTCTATGAATTCGTATTCAATACCCTTGAGTTTCAAAGCAACCTCGATTCTGTGGCTAAATGGGCTTGACCAACTACCAAAAAGCTTCACTTCTGCCATTTTACTCTCCTTTGATTTTCAGTCTATACTTTGCTGTATTTCCATTCTCCAGGGTTGAGCCTAATATATAGAGGGAGCCTAACTTGTCCGCTAAGAATGAATGAATAAATTAACTTGTCCACTGGTAAATAATTATTTGTAAGTTGACCAAGTGATAGATACTGATTGGTTACCTAGTAGACCCCTTCAAAGCAGACGTATGGGGTGATCACATCAATCTTTGTTTTTTCTAGCATTGAACCGACTAAAGTCTCTATTATATATATTTGGCAAATCACTTTCTATTCACGAGATCTATAAGTACTATCAACTTATTTATCGCTTATTCATATCGGTTTATAGACACAACTATTTATAAACGCTTTAAAATTTAATGAACTTTTTGTAAAAATTGAACAGAAATAGAAGGGATCTTTTAAACACGATCAATTTTCTCAACCCTTTTCAAAATTCAATGAAAAAGCCTCAAAATAAAGCCTCCTCAAGTATAATGTTTTTTCATTTTTCTATTTTTACTCTCACTTCGGTAGTCTAAATCATGTTTGATTGTGCTTAAAATGAAGTAAAATTACATTTTAAGTAACTTTTATCTTACTTTTAAAATTAATAATAACTTGCACATTTCTAGTTCTTACCGATAAAAAAATATTTTAAAGCTTATTCATTTAATTTTAAGTTTAGTCGAAGTTGCTCCAAGCTTTAAAAAGATTTTATTGAGAAAGAAAGTAATGTTTAAATAACTCCAGACATATTTTGCCAAAAAAAAAACCTTTAAATTAGTTTATCCAAACACGCTCAATCAACAATGTCTTCGAAATAATTTTTTAAATCTTCACATACCCCCTTTTCCCTTAATCATCTCTCAAGTTATCTAGAGAATAGATTTTATTAGCGTAAAACAATTGCCAAGAAAGATGAATGCTTGAATGTGGACTCTAGCATTGCTCGACTTACTTTTCGCACAACACGTATATGTAGTAATGTAGTGTGCAACATTTGCTTTTTATTATACTAGTGGTGGATCGTGCGTTGCACGATGACTATTATAATTTTGTAAGAGATTTCTTTGGAACAACAATATATTTTAAAACAAATAAAG